CCTTACAAAAATGTTAAAATGTGAATATACACTTGGCCCTCCACATTTGTGGCTTTGACTTTTGCAGACTTGATTATTCATGGATTTGATTAATATGTTCTCTCTACAAATCTCTAAGTCCTGCAGCGTAACTCTGCCAGACACTGACCATAGAGTTGCGCTGGGGGAATTCTAGAGATTCCTTGAGAAAATACATCTCTTGGGATTTGTAGGTCCTCCAACCAGATTCTACGGTCGACTTTTGACAGATGTTGAGCATAGACTTGCACTGGAGGAACTAGAAATTCCCAGTGAGGTGCCCTCTCAAGTAAAAATAAAATAAAATAGTGTTTTCTTGATTTGTGATTTTCCCACTTTCACTGTGGTCCTGTGTCCCTAACCCCAGCAAATGTGGAGGGCTCAGTGTACATAAATGTGCAAACAAAAACACGCACATTAAACAAAATGTTTTTATTCATACACTATGTCAAGCAATGTGGGAGCTCAAGATCCACAGGTTAAAAAAGTTCCCAGGGGTAAAAATTTGGAAACCTCAAGGGGCAACTTGATTTCGAACTGAGAACTCTAGTGACCAAGTTCCCAACACCTTTGTTCTCTGTGGCAATGTGACTGTTTTGCCACAAGAGGGGGCTACTGCCTTGCTAATGGCCTCTCTGGAGCACTACTGGTGGCAGACTGTGGTATTACAGCTTTTATATGGCCAAGAGAGCACTGATTGGCTGCTTTGTTGTCACATGACAAAAAAGCAGCCAATGGGAGCTCTCTAGACCATATAAAGCTTCTGGTCTTGGCTTGGCTTTTCAGTCTAAAAAGTCTTGACTCTTTGGATATGTCTATTTTTTATTCTATCTTAATTAATTTGATGGCAACCTCAAATTCGGCTGGTTTGGCCCTGAATTGGTTTCACATCTGCAACTTGCTATGGGTCATCATTATTTTAACTGGTTTTAAATTGTCTTGTTTTAAGTGGTAAAAGATTTAATATATTTGTAGCCTTTGAAGTTATCGGTTATTTCTTGTCCTAGATTGATTTTATCATATGCTGCCTGGAGATCTTCTGATATAAAGCAGGATATAAATATTTTAACAATAAATAAGTTAATGTTGTTGTTATTATTACAGTCGCCCCTTTGTTCTCGCGGACCTGAAGTCCACGGTTTTGCATATTCATGGAGGGGTGACTTCAATTCAAATCAATGGAGCACACACCTGTAGGAGTGCACCCCATTCAAGCCTATGGTACTTGAATATTGGTGAGTATTTTTGCAGTGGGGGGTCTGGAATGGATCCCCTGTGAAAATGTAGGGCCAACTGTATTAGTAGTAGT